GTCATCTCTAATCAGCCTATGAAGGTTGATTCTGCCCATCTCTTCCCAATCCCATGTTTAGTGATGTCATATTAGTAGCTCGAAGTCAGCCATGGTAGGATTATTTGTACCACAGAAATCATCTACATCATTCTACAAATCATGGGTTTATTTCCCCCTAGAGACCTGGTTTATTTTTGTAGCATCTTAGGGTCTGAAGGCAAAGTTGGGATATTTATGAGATGTTGGAGTTTGTTTTAAGGCAAGTTTTTCAATGTGGGGGCTTTTTTAGGATTGGGTAAGGATCATAATCTAAAAGTTTAAGATTAGTAGACACAACAAGGAGAGGGTTTTAGAGCAAGTGTTTCAAAGAATATTAGAGAATAAACAGCCATTTGATATTATCTACTGAAAAGTCTAATGGTTTGATGTTCATTAAATGAGTTTTTCAGTAAGTTACTGAGACAAAATTACTTTCAACTTTTATCTTTCTGAGCAAGAGTTTCCTGGAACAATAAAGTCATGTTGACGAAGACAGAATAGTAAAGTCTTGTTAATATATACAGTAAGCTATACGGGTGTGGATGGTTTCAGTTCTCATATATAATGCTTGAGCCTTCAAATTATATAAGAATTAAGTATAGGCTTCCATGGAATTATAACAGCAAAAAAGAAATAAAGCTCATATGAATTGTTCACTTGAAATCATTCATTTTCAACTTTAACAAAAAGCAAAAAAAAAAAAAAAAAAACTGACTTCACATCCTCATGTATATGTCTTTTCTTCACCAAATATTTAAGTAGATTTTAATGCTATTTCACTTTCATCAAGTGATAAGAATTTATATTGCATTTGTATAGTTGGGGAATTAAATACATAGTGTCTAAGATATTTCTTTTCAGTGTCTTTAAAAATACAATTATTGAACAACTTTGTACTTCCAGTCATTTTTCTCTGCAAGACAATGATGTAAACAGACTACTTAGAATACTTAACATCTGAAATAGAGATTTGTAAGTCCATTTGTTATTATTTCAATCATTCAGTACCATTTATATTTATATTATTTCTCCCTTTTCTTAAGTACAATGATAGGGTCAGAAGTCTACAATGGTTCAGAAATGAATTAGCTGAGAGAAGAAAGAAAAAAATTTTTTTTAATTTGAAAAGACAAAATGAGAATGTTTAAGTCATACAATTAGAAGGCATCACTAATGCAAGGGTTCATAATTCTATCCGAAGTTCAGAGTAGACCCAGCTACTGCAGTAGTCCTAACAGCAGTCCCACTCTACCCCTTGTATGAGTCTGGTGAGACAGAACACACACAACAAATCAGGCGAAGCAGATTTATTACACACAGAAAGGCATCACGAATGAACAGAAGTGTAGGATCCATGACAAGCTAGTCTTCTTAGGCTCAGGAAAGCTTCTCAGGGAGGATGGAATCTCATTGTGCATGCCCCACATTGCACTACAGCTGAGGGACCCCAAAAGCACTTTGCCCTGAGTTAATATACCCATTGATAAGCTCAAGTCTTGAAGAATATCCTGTTGTAGGAGGGACAGGGACGTAGCCTGGATTGTTCCAGACATTTCCTCCTAATCTCAGGATGTCCCATTCTTGGTACATTGTCAGAATTGCATGTGGGAGGGGAAAGAGCTGGGTCAGCCAAGGCCATCTGGGAACCTGTCCTCCTACAGCTAACTTTCCCAGTTCAATCCCTTCTTTACCCTATGAGTTGTTTTTATTTTTTTCTGGTTTGTTTTGACCGGTAAGGAGATCACAACCCTCGGCATGGTGTGGTCCGCACCACGCTCAGCCAGTGAGCGCACCGGCCATCCCTACATAGGATCCGAACCTGCAGCCTTGGCGTTACCAGTGCCGCACCCTCCCGAGTGAGCCATGGGGCTGGGCCTTTAATGAGTTTTTAATAGAGCACAGTACCTGATGAGAATTATGCATTTATCCCCTTTCATATTATTCTTGCTATTTATAATCTGTCATTCCAAAGTGACACCCTACTAGCTATTCTATCAAATTTTGTGTCATTTGCAAATATGAGCTATGCAGTTATTACTGTGTAAACAAACAAAAACACCCCAAAATGTAACCAATTAACTACCTTTAAATTTTTTTTTCATTAGTCTGTGGTTCCATTGGTCAGTTGTGGTGACCGTGGCTCATTTCTGCTACTCTTCCTGGGGTTGCTCAAGCATCTGCCATCAGCTGGTGGTTGACTAGGTGATGATCAGTCTGGGATGACCTGAGCTGAAATGACTCAGTTCTCCTCCACAAGATTAGTGTCCTCCAGTAGGCTAATTTCTTTCTCATGGCCATAACAGGGTTCCAAAAGAGATAGGAAACACATCTGACCTCTGTAAGGATCAGTTCCACCCCCGGCATACAGTAGAGCAGAAAAAGGTGGAAAATGGATCTGGAGGAAGACAAAAATAAGATAACCATCACAATGTTAATGTGTTCTTCCAAATTCTTTACAAAATTTTTGAAAATGGCACTGACATAATTTTCAGTGAAGACCTTAAAAGACCTTGTTACAGATGCATTGATCAACAGTTTTGGAGTATGTTATTTAACCAGCTATGACTATACCTACAGGAATTTTCATCCAACCCATATTTTTCCATTATATAAATAAGGGTTCAGTGAAAATTTTGTCAAATTTGATTCTCCAGTTAAGAAATTACCTATAGTTTTCTGAACATAAATGATCATCACTGCTTTATTTATAATAGCACAATATTGGAAACAATGCAGGAATGAATAACTTGCGGTAATTTATATGGTGAATTATTTCATATAATATTTAAGTTTCAAATACTTAATGAAATGTGAAAATGCTCACAATTTAATTTTAATGACAAAGTGGTAAGATACAGAGTGAAAACAATACGAATGAAATACAAGCATCATATTTTATATCTAATATATAAATATTTTTAAATCTTAGAAAGAAATACAATAGAAAATATTTGTAAGGTAAGATAATAGTGATTTTTATTTTTATCTTAAACTTTTAGATATTTTTAAAATTTTTCTACAGTGGATATATATAGCATCATTATCAGAAAAAAATAAACATGGCATTTAAAATTTTTTTCCATTTTAAAATCATGCACACATTTCCTTCTATTTTGAAAATTGTGGTTTTTGTCCATTTTGAGTCTGATATTCTCTGAGATATTGTAATAATCACAGGGAGATTTGGATCTTTCTATTACCATAGTAGTTGGATTTTAATTAACATTTCATGAACATTTTCATCTTAAAAATTTTCCTGCCTCTATAATCAATATGTGTATTCTTTTTCTATTGGATGCCAAAAGAAACAGGATTTTGTGACAATCTTTAGAGCAATACTAACTAAGCTATAATCAATAAAAAGGATGAAGTTCTATGTCACAAGTTAAGAAAGCAAGGAAAAAATATATCAAACACCTCTTTGGTTATATTATGTGACTAAGGAACCTATCAGATGGCTACATTTTTGTTGGCACTATTTGTTTATAATCTTAAAACTCTTACTACACTAAAAATCATTTGTCACTGGTGACACCTATGCCTTCTGGAATGCTTAAAGGGATAGTTCAGTTGCTAAGAGAAGGCCTCTGACAACACACAGGTAAACTTTTCCTGCAAGGGATGCAGAATGCAAAAGCAAGCAAGTCACCTACCAGACATAATGTCCACAAGAGGCACTGTGGTAGAATAAAGATGATCACAGATTTCTTTATTCTCCTCCCATCGTCAAGTGGGTCTCTCTTTCTCCTCTTGAATCTGGGTGGACTTTGTCAGTGCTTGATCAATAGAATATGACCAAAGAGACATTATGTTAGTTTCCAGTTTCCATCCTCATGAGACTGACAACTTTACTTCCTGTCTCTTGGAACAGTCGCTCTTGGAAGCCGTTTGCCAGGTTGTGAGAATCCCAAGCCACACAGAGAGTTCATGCATATGGGCTCCAGTTGACAGCCCTACTCATCTCCCAGCCAACTGTGAGCATCGACTGCAGCCACGTGAATGAGCCGTTTTGCACACACAGCCTAGTCATGTCTATAGATGACTCCAGCTTCAGACACTGACTCCAAATACATGAAAGATCCCATGCCAGATCCATCCAGCTGAACACAGTCCATGAGACATAATAATAACTTGTTGTTTTGATCCACTAAGTTGGGGATGGTTTGTTAAACATTAATTTTTTTAAAAAACTGGAACATTAGCCATTGTTAGCTGGTACTGTTGTACTTGAAACAAAATTTGAAAACAGTTATAGAAAACAGGTAGTAACATAAGATCTCTATAGATCTATCTTTCAAACAGGAATGGAACAATTGTGAGGAGAGCATACTATACCTTACACCTTTCAGAATCATATACAGACATAATGAATCAAAGAAAGCAAGGAAAATAAAAAGAAAGCTCAAGATAGCACTTAATGTTGGAGTTGATGAGATGCCACTACGTGTATGGCACTTTACCACTTATCACAACCCTGGGGAATATGAATTATTATTATCCTCATTTTTTCTTTTTCCCCTTCCTTCCTTCTTCCCTCCCTATCTTCCTCCTTCCCTTCCTTTCTTCTCTCTAGGCCCCAGTTTCCAAGCTGCTTTCACTCCTGTCCATTTCACTTCACCTCAGCAGGAGCCTGTTTCATGTTTATAATCTCATGCTATTTATAGTACATGAAATACAAAGGGGTGCTACTCAAGCAGGTATCCATATGGAGAAGTCAGGTAAGCAGTCTAGGGTAAAAGGGTAACTCCTGGTGGGATTTCATCCACGGAAGCCCCCATGAGCTACCTTAATCATCTTTATTCTCCTGCCTGATCAGAAATGGTCAGAGTGCAGCTGGCCTCTTCCTTACAACAGTGAATTCTATATGTTTCTTAAAGCCCATTATATTAGAAACATTAGATGCATAAACCTTTGTTATACTCCAGGGCAATGTTTAAGTATTATTCAGAGTGTTTCAAAAAAGTCTATTTTGTTTTCAGGTATTCCGAAGTTGATTACATCTGATATGGTTAGAGAAGGTGCTGCTGTAATTGATGTGGGGATCAACTACATCCACAATCCAGTGACAGGAAAGACAAAATTAGTTGGAGATGTTGACTTTGAAGGTAATGAAAGAAAATCTCTTTTGATAAGTGAAGAAAAACAAAAGATTCTACCTTACATGTGTTGATAGTAGAAAGAGAAACTTTCTTCTTCATGGGAACATTATTAAGTTATTAATCATCACGTCTTTCCTCTTACGGAAAAGTTTAATCAAACTTATGTACTTCCTTCCTTCCTTCCTTTATTTTCTCCCTCCCTTCATTCTAATTGTACCATTGAGGCATGAATATAGTAAAGTGAAGACATTTTCATATTAGAAATATTTTATGTATAAGACCAATTATCCTGGCCAAAAAAAAAAAGCAGGGCCATATCAAGAACTTTATTACTTATAGGTGTGTCCTTATATACAAACTGAAAGGAATAGACAATGCAATTTTTTAAATAATGCAGGTTTTAAATTCTCACTTGGAGTCTGGTTGTCAGCTGATGGTTTACCCAAGTTCTACCATGGTGTTGAATAAAATTGAAAATGCAAACAGAAGTATCTGTATTAGCCCCATATATGGAAGATTCTAGGGTGCATCAAAGACCAGATCCAGGTAAGAAATTTGAGCCTGCTGCTAAAAGAAGAGAGAAAAAGAAAAACCTAAGGACGCTTATAGGTAACAATACAGTCTTAAGGACAGAACAGTGAGTAAGAGCGAAGTACAGATGTGCCTTATCAAAAGACAAACTACTGGGAGGAATCGGTAAAGGGACATGAAAATCAACTACATTGTATATTGATAAAAGAAAAAAAAAGACACACTACTGCCCTCAGAGGCTCTAATTTATTGGGTCCCTGGCATAGATGAAACTCCAGTCTAGCAGAGATGGCTGTCCACATGAATATGTGTCTGTATGTGTGTGTGTGTGTGTGTGTGTGTGTGTGTAGTGTATACATACTAAAATTCTCTTTATTTCCTCTTTCTTGTTCAGTCACTCAAGTAAGGTTATCAATAATTTATTTGAATTTTTTAACTTGAAAGGGTAAAGATGCATTTCATTTTAAAACCTGTCCTAATTTATTCTTTTCACTGTCGTTTCTGTTTCTTGATAACATTATAGTTACCATGTGTTTATTGCAAAATCACTATGCACTTATGACGCACCCAGATGGCATTGACAGCAAAGATAGCCAGCTCGATGCAAGAACAGCAGAGATGTTTGCAGTTCACTACAATTTCATAAGACTCTTGTGCTTGTAGGGCATACTTACCCTGCAGTTCTCCACATTTCATAAGCTCTTCTTTCACAGGGTATTTTGTTGGTCTCAGATCATTTCTATGCTTTCTTGTTTTTAACTGAGAATGTTTGTTGCTCATGAGGGTATCCTGGAAAAATTAAAAATATGAGCATTTTTGGGTGGGTGTGTATGCTTAGTAGCACATATAGATATGCCCTTCAGGTTGCATACCACTCAACTTGGTAATGTCTATTAAATCAAATTGCAGTTCTGTATATCTATGTATACAACAAAATAAAAGAAAGAAATGGCAAAGAGAAACAAAGTTACGAGATGAACAGGAAAAAGCATTGGGCTGGGAGATTGAAGAGGTTATTTCAGACCTAGCACTGTTGGCCAATAGCCTTGCAACTTCTTGGCCATCCTGTTATCAGTTAAATGATAGCGATTATATCAATGGCCCCTTTCAGCTTTAATGTTTGGTGCATCTTGGACATACAACAGAATGCTAACAAATGATTGTGTTAAAACACAGAAATTTTTGGAAGGAAGGTCAGGATTTTCTGGTCTTATCATGAAGGTTGCCCATATGATTGCTAGTATTTCTCTTGCTACCCTGCTGGTGAATGGAGCCAGATCAGTAACAAAGACCTGGACTTGGTAGGGAAGGCCTTGCCAGAGAGGCCATGACTCAGCCACCCATAGGAGCAGGCGAGTGATAGGTTTTGACATGTTGCTCTTCAGGTTGCTCATCAGGACTTAACCTGAGGTGAGGGATGAACCCCCAGCTGAGAGGGAGGAACTTTAACTCGGGTTATGGCACAAAACTCATAGGTAGCATTTGGCTACAAATTGCCACAGGGAAAGTAGAGCTGCTTTGTGAGTATCGGTGAAAGTTTCACTATAACTATAGCCAAGATAAACAAAATGAATGTAGGTACAATCAAATGTTGAAGTAAATTGTCCTTGCAGGAATCTCTGCTCATTAATAAAGAAAACTGGGTGACCATTTAAAGTAGATTACACTGATGGGAATGATTTATTGACATAAATAAAGTGTTGGGATGAAAAGGATGATGTTTTCTTGGTGAAGCTGCACTGATGTAAAGTTTGACATTAAAGGAACTCCCAGAGATATTTCATGACATTGAAAGGGGAAAGGATAAAACTGGAAGCTGATCCAAGCCTAGAAAGGAATCTGACAATTCACCAAGGCATAGAAAAGTTGCTTGCTCCAATTGTCAGTTATTTGGCCAGAAGAAGGCAAGTACCATTCAAACTATTCTTGACCAGATTTTTACAAAAGAATAAAAACCTTTAATTTGCAATGTTTCTAATGTTTTAAATTATGGCGTACTAAATAAATACTGGTTTTGCTATTGTTTTCAATTCTTTATACATTTATGAACCACAGTTAAAAGTATTTTTAATATTTTGACAAACAATTTTAAAGGTTATTGAACAAATAATTTTCCCCATTGGTGATTAAGATTGCTTTGCACTGTTTCAACAATTATTTTTATAGTCCCACACTCCTGTGAAAACTGAGCATGGCCTGCATTTATCTCTCTGTCCAATAAAATCTCATGAAATTAGTAGTCATATAGTTCAAATTCATATTCAGTACCAAAATCACATCTACTACACAATTATTCAATTGTGTTTGGTTACAATTTCTCACTGTTACTATTATTATCCATGTAAGTTATTCAATGTTGGAGGTATTGTTTGTTTAATACTTTCCTAAAGAATCACATACTGGTGCTTTTCCACAACAGAGGTCCATGCCTCTCTGGGGACTTTGAGAAATAAATAGTGCCTTAAAGTCATAACTAAATTGAAGTGCTATTTTTGTTTTGTATTGATCCTCAATTATAGAACTCCTAGATAATAGGCTGGCCAGTTAGTTCAGTTGGTTACAGTGTGGTGTTATAACACTAAGGTCAAGGGTTTGGATCCTTGTACCTGCCAGCCACCAAAAAATATATATATATTATTGCTTCCACCCTCTGACAAACACCTATTGTTCCCCTTCAATTACATGAACATACCTCCTTCCTCCATTAAAAGAAGAAACAGTATTTAAAAGCATCTGTGATAAAATTATGTCTAAGAATTGTTTTTTATTACTAATAATCATACAACGAATAATCTATTTGAAAATTTTAGATTTGCTATATATTTAGTTTTTTAATAGTGGGACACACCTACTTTCCCCAGCAATTTCTTTTAATCATTTTCTATTGTAGCTTTGAAAGAAACTTCATTTCTGAGAAAGAAGGCTCTTTTTTCAAAGATAGAAACAAGAGATTATGTGGTATGAGTGGTAAATAGCTTCTTCTGAAAAGCAAACTGGAAAGCAGCCTGTAGTCCTAGACTCAGAAGCTCGTAACTACATTACTTTTATAACAGCAATTTACCAAAAGGACTTGGTCAGCTCAACAATCTAATTAATGACTTCCCATGTTGTTAATTCAGTTAACCTAGCTCATACTGGTGAACTCTCGGGATTCATTTATACCTCATAGCTAACACACAGATGTTTCTATAATCTTTTGAAACTTTAATAGCTTTGCTTCAGTTTTATGATACATTCCACAGGGATTAAGGTGGAATGAAGAAAACCTGGAATGTCTGCTCCTTATCGCCTGCCATCTCCCCTCCATCTTCCAACCCTGACCACGCCTCTCCACTCATTGGTCTACACCAAACAAAGAATAAAATAATTCAGGGAAGAACTGATGAAAAGGAAGAAAAGAGATAGGAAGGAGGAATGATGTATAGGCATTTTTTTTCAAAATCAAAATAGGTGGGGTTAATGTCTGAGTGACTTTTCTCTTTCTACTGTCTAAAAGTTATAGAATAGTAAATAGAAATTATAGAGATATGTCTAAAGGTACATTTTATTGTTGATAAAACTGATTTAAATTATAAAAGTTAAGAAGCCACATTTTATGGAAAAGAATGTCCGTTCCTCTAATACAACCAGGATTATTATTATTATTATTATTTTACTATAGTTGTTTTCAGATGCTCTATGAATACATACAAGTATTTTATATAGTTTGAGGAATATATAACTTATGCATTTAAACATATAGTCATTTTCCATACTTGAGGTCCTAGTTTATGATTATGTTCAGTGAACATATCATAGTTTGCTTTACCCTTTCTCTCTTGTTAAACTGTTAGGTTATTTCCATTTTTTTCCCCTCTAAGTATTATACTTAAGAGTAGGTTAAGCTGCAGTAACAATGGGACACCAAAATGCATTCACTCATGATAGTTTAGCCCTCTTCTATAAAAGTCTGGATTTAGGCAGGCAGTCAAGGAAAGTAGGTAGTTCTGCTTCATTCAGGGATACTGTTTTTATCCAACTTACTGTTTGTATTAGTTTGCTAGAGCTGCCATAACAAAGTGTAACAGACAGGGTGGCTTAAATAACAGATATATATTTCTCACAGTTTTGGAGGCTAGAAGTCCAAGATAAAGGAATCACTAGTGTTGTTTCTTCTGAGGTCTCTTTCCTTGACATATAGATAGCCATCTTCTCCCTGTATCTTCACATTGTCTTCCCTCTGCACATGTCTGTGTCCAAACTTCCCCTTCTTTTTTTATTTTTAATTTATTTATTATTAGCAGATTCATGATTATACATCGTGATTTTTCTTTGCCCCCTTTACCAGTCTATCACTCCCCAAACCTCCTCCCTCCCTCCCCCACATCTCTAGTATCCTGAGGTATGTTCTCTCCTTCTGAAAGTTCAATGTAATGTTGTGGTCCGTCATTTGTTCCTTCCTTCCTTCCTTCCCTCCTTCCTGCCACCTTCCCTCC